TGAGGGTGTCCCTTCGGTTTCTGGAGAGCCTGGGTCTGGAGCTGGTGTTGGTGCTGCCTCTGGGGGTGGTGTGCTTGGTGCTTCGGAGGTCGACTCTGGGGCTGCCGCTGCCCCGGACACTACTCCTTCCCCCCACCCCTACCCGACCAGGTTCCAGGCTCGTGTTCGCCGTGCTCGTGAGGAGCAGCTGGAGTTGGAGAGAGAGGAGAGAGAGTTGCAGCGGCTCGAGGAGCAGGAGCGACAGCAGCAGGGGCAGCAGCCGCTGGAGCAGCAGCAGCCGCAGCAGCCGCAGCAGCAGCAGCTGCCGTCTCCTCCTCCTGTCTCGGGTCTTCGGACCCTTGGTCTCCCCTCTCCCTCTCCTTCCTCCTCCCCCTCTCCTCCCGTCTCTGGTCCTCCGCTTCCTCCTCCTGACCCCTCTCCCGCTGTTTTCCCTCGTTCTCAGTCTTCGTTGTCCCCTCCTCCTTCTCAGACTTGGGCCTCTCGTCGCTCCCCTCGTGCTCGTCCCTCGTCTCCTGTTCCCTTCACTGACCTTCGTACTGCCTTACTTCGTTCTAGTCCACCTCGTCCGTCTCCGTCTGTGCTTCCGTCTCCTCCTGAGTCGGCTCTCACTGCGTCGCTCCCTACTCCTGTCACTGACTACTACCGCACGTACCGTCCTCTTCTCTCTCGTGTTCTCGCCTCGCTTGTTACTCACCCTCGTGCCTCTGTGTCCTCTGTGTCCGCTCTTACTGCCGCAGTCACTGAGTTTGCCTCTACCCGCCGCCTTGACTTCGCCACCGCTCTTGTGGCTGCTCCTCCTTCCAGTCCTCTGGCCGTCGGGGGTGTGTCTGCCCTTGGCTGTGACGCCCTAGAGGACAGGCAGTTTGAGCTAGAGTTCCTGGCGGCCGCTTCCCCTCATCTCTGTGCCATGCTCCTTGCCCCTGAGGGTGACCCCGACGCCCTTGACATTCCGACTCCTCGCACTTACGCTGAGGCAGTGTCAGGGCCTTGGGCCTCTCAGTGGAGAGCTGCCATGGACGCAGAGATGGCCTCCTACAGATCCACAGGCACCTACGTCGATGAGGTTCCCCCTCCGGGGGCGAACGTAGTCGACGGCATGTGGATCTACAGGGTGAAGCGGCCACCGGGATCTCCTCCGGTCTTCAAGGCACGCTACGTGGCTAGAGGTTTCAGTCAGCGCGAGGGAGTTGACTTCTTTCAGACCTTCGCGCCCACCCCGAAGATGACCACTCTTCGGGTGTTACTACACGTAGCAGCACAGAGAGACTACGAGTTACACTCTCTCGACTTCTCTACTGCTTTCCTTCAGGGCAGTCTTCACGAGGAGGTCTGGTTGCGTCGTCCCTCTGCCTTCACTGGCTCTTTCCCTCCTGGGACCCAGTGGAGGCTGAGGCGACCGGTTTACGGTCTTCGTCAGGCTCCTCGTGAGTGGCACGACACCCTGCGTTCTACCCTCTCTGACCTTGGGTTCCAGCCGTCTTCTGCTGACCCGTCGCTGTTCGTTCGTCGTGGCCCCACACCTTTCTTTGTTCTGGTCTACGTTGACGACCTTGTTTTCGCCACCCCTGACAGGGTTGCTTTGGCACACGTGAAGTCCGAACTGCAGAAGAGACACACTTGCACTGATCTTGGTGAGCTGCGCCACTACCTTGGCCTGCAGATCACCAGGGACAGAGCTGCTCGCACCATTACACTTTCACAGTCCCACATGGTGCAGCAGGTCCTTCAGCGGTTCGGGCTTCAGCACTCCACAGTACAGCGCACACCTCTTGCTGTTGACCACAGACTCACTGGACCCTTTCCTGACGAGCCGTTCGAGCCTAGTGGTCCCTACGCAGAGCTTGTGGGTTGCCTCATGTACCTGATGACTTGTACTCGCCCGGACCTCGCCTTCCCTCTCAGCGTTCTTGCGCGCTTTGTTGCGCCAGGGAGACACCGTCCTGTTCACTGGACAGCAGCTGTGAGGGTGGCAAAGTACCTAGCGACGACGTCAGGCGTGGGGCTAGTTCTTGGAGGGCAGCAGTCTGTCGTACTTACTGGTCACTGTGACTCCTCTTACGCTGACGACGCTGAGACTCACAGGTCTACTCAGGGGTACTGTTTCAGCCTGGGTTCTGGAGCTGTTTCCTGGCGGTCCACGCGCTCCTCTTCGGTCTCGACCTCTACAGCTGAGGCTGAGATCTACGCTGGTGCCATGGCGGCACAGGAGCTGCGTTGGTTGACCTTCTTGCTCACCGACCTTGGTGAGCGGCCGAGCTCTGCACCGACCTTGTTCACTGACAACAAGGCGTCTATTCTCCTTTGTCGAGAGCCACGACTGGAGAGCAGAGTGAAGCACATTCACGTCAGGTACTTTCTTCTGCGAGAGTTGCAGAGGCGTGGACAGGCTCGCTTTGAGTTTGTGGAGTCCGAGGCCAACACTGCAGACATCTTCACCAAGGCGCTTCCGCCTTGTGACCACCAGAGGTGCTGTGTGCAGTTAGGCCTTGTTGACACTGGTTCTCGTGTTGCTTAGACTTGAGTGTACTGTTTACTTTGCTTTCTATATACCTCTGTTACTTCTTGGACTGGCCTTGTGGCCACTGTTGTTTGTGCTCAGACTGTGTGGTGACGTTGTGATCCACCCTGAGCTTCGTTTCTTGGACTGGTCTTGTGACCGTACTCGTTTGGTTCTGCTAGACACCCCTCACTTAGGCTATGGGGGTGTGTCAAATGTTGTAGCCTATAGTGAGGTTTGTCTTAGGGGGTACAAAACTTAGGGTTAGCTATATGTACCCCAACCAACATCAATGCATCATCCATTCTTCATTCTGACAGTTGACTGGGTGGCTTTCTAGAGAGTGATGAGGACCCGTAGGAAGGAGAGGCACAGTGGCTAGCGATGTCAGCTGGAGTTCTAGGATTTGTTTCCTGAGTGGGCCAAAGGATCCAGAGGAGCTACAGCTTGAAAACTGTTGGCACATATTGTACAGGGGAATTGTGTACCGTAACAAAAATTATTCTCTCTATGCCGCTCATGTAAGGCACTATCTAAACAGCACTATTGTTAGCTGGTAATGCAATCTGCCAGGTTCCCGCCCGTAAAGCATCGGGGATGCAATGCAACATGGAAGCACCCAAATCGCCTCTGAAGACAGTCCACACCCTTCAAAAACAGCTGGTGCTGTCTCTCCACTGCTTTCTTTGCAGGCCAGTAACCCAGGCTGAGTGCCCTCGGCCAGTGCAGCATCAGGCAGCCCTGAAATCCCAGGCGTGGTTGGTTTGAGTCAGAACTTGAAGGTCAGATATTGAATCAGAAGTTTGTGACGATTAGTTTGAGATACAACTTGTACCTCGCATGTTACATATCGAACGCTGTTTTATGTCGGAGACTCGGTTCACCTTTATCGCAGATGTGCACGCACTGCCTGGCGGGGATGGATGTTCAGCTCCAGCAGGCCAGCCAGCACGGTTGTGTCTGGTGGTTTACGTTGCAAAACGGTACCGCGTGAAAAGCGATTATGCACGGTAGGAAGTCGGGAGGCCACAAGCACATCTAGGCCTTTCTGCTGGACGCGAATTTTACTAGGGTGGCGGCTGGAACTTCAATGCAACTTGAGTTCATCGAGTCGAGCGGCCTTGCCGACTCGTCAAGTCTCTTCGTGCCGCTACTCCATCGCAACCATGTTCGAGAAGCTGCTCGTTAAATTAGCAGCTAGGGTTGGCGTTAGGGGACCCATAAACGTTTTCCAGTCCAATCACGGCTGTCCCCACTGTCTGGTGTGGGATCAAGAGATCGAGTTTGGTGGCAAGTATTATCGTGGCATGGTCGAAGCCCTCCAGAGGTTAGTACCATATGGTGATTTTCGTCCGCCTGATCCCTATGCACGTCAGCAAAGCCCTTCGTTAAAGCAGAGCCGTGCTCGAGAGCTCGCGTACCGAGCCGCGTTTCGCAGCGCGCTCACGGGGAAGACATCATTCTGTCACGAAAACTCATCTGCAGATGCGATTTACGTCGCGAAAATCGCTGAGGAGCTTGCGAAATTGAATGCCAAGGGGATTCTGCAGGTCGATTGCCAGCGCATGTTACTGAGCACCCCGAAATATCAGACCGTTGAAACTCCTGCCGGTCTGCTCACTAGCAGTGTCCAGCTGTCACCAGACCTAACTCTGCAGCCGCGATCTTACTCTGGATGCTCCAAGACAGAAGCTGAAAGGGATGCAGCTTTCCAAGCGTGGCTTCAAATCTTTATTGACGGAGAACGTGTTGAAGGAGGTGACAATGGCTCTAACGCGGGAGAAGAGCGAATAATAGAAGATTTGGAGGAGGATTTTTTGGCTTTTCACGTTACTATCGCCTTCAACCGTAAAAAGAATGGCCACGAAATCCCTTATTGATTGTGAATGTTTGTGCTGCAAACTGCGGCTGAAAGATGTTCAAATTAGATATACTCAATATACAGGGGGGTTAAGAAATAAAAAATGGCCTAACAGGTAACACTTGTGTTAGGTGGTACGCAAGCAGCTTCAGACAGTTTCCCGTCTGTACAGCATAGGGGATGCTACATGGAAGCAACCAAACCGCCTTTGGAGGCAGTCCAGGCCCTTCAAAAACAGCTGGTGCTGTCGCTCTGCTGCTGAGAGTGCAGGCCAGTAACCCACAGGCTGAGTGGGCTCGGCCAGTGCAGCATCAGCCACCCCTGAAAAGCCAGGTGCTGCAGAAGCTTCAGAAGAAGTATGTGACAAGACGCGTGCATCCTCGGCAACGTAGTTTCCCTCCTCTTCTTCCTCCTCATCCCCGTCAACGCTCATCGCGTCACAATGTCCATCATAATCCATCTCCTCCGCCTCCTCTTCCTCTTCTTCGTCTTCCTCTCCCTCTACAGTCACGTGAAGACCCATCAGTGTGGGGATGTTAGAAAGAATCGAATGAAGCAGAAGCAGGCCTTCGGGCGCCTTATCCGCAATTCTCACTGTAAGAGCTTCTAGCCGAGGCCACAAATAGTCATTAATGAGTGTACCTATTGAACCAGTTCTCCCCGGTGACTGTAGAAGACCCGACATCGCAGCCGAGTCAACCATATTCTGCCACGCCAGCGCACCCAATCTCAAACTTCTCAACATCGGACAATTTCGCGCGAGCCAGGGCAGCGACGAAACCGAGGGCAGGCCAGATGCGTTGGTGGTGGCAAAAAAGTCGAGGGAGAGCGACTCGAGAGCAGCCCAATTGGTTGAAATTAGGGTTTCGATGGCGGGCCAGTTGAGCGAACCCGCGCGGAGGTCGATTGAAGCGAGTCGGCTGGAGTGAGGCGCGGAGACGAGCAGGCTGTTGGCGGACGCGACGGAGAGTTGGCGCAAATGGGGAGAGTCGCGGATGGAGAGCGAGCGGAGAAACATGTCGCGGATAGAGAGGGATTGGAGGGAGCGCGCGGAGAGAAGCGCGACGGAGTCCGCGCGGATGTAGGAGAGCGAGAGGTGCTGCAGGGACGGCGGAAGGCGCAGATGCAGGCGCGGAAGCCCCGACGCCATGAAAATCGTGAGGTGGCGGAGATTCGGCGCGGCGTCAAGCACGGCGTGAAGTGCGGCGGGGCAAGCGTGCAGCCACGAGAGCGAGAGGTGCTGCAGGGCCGGCATGGGCTGGAGAGTCGCGAGCAGGGTCGGCGCGGAGAGGGACACGTGGCCCAATGAGAGCGAGCGCAGGTTGGTGCAGTGGCGGGAAATGTGCGCGAGATGCAGACTCGCGTCCTCCTCCTCCCACAGGTTCACCACCACGCTCCCGTCGCCGCCGCCGCAATTCGTGGACGAAGCAACGGGTACAGCGCGCGAGAGAGAGAGCGAGCGCAGCGACGGCCCCACGTGGCGCATCCACGCCTCGAAGATAAACTCCCGCGGATGGCTCGGCGCCGCCGAATCCCCTGCCTGCGCCGCCGCTCCATGCGCCTCCTCGAAGCAGCGGCAGGCTGGAGGGATGGCGGAGGCGGAAACGCCGCATGCGGCGCAAGGGCGCGCAGGCGAAGCGGCTGGAAGCGGAGTCACGATTTTTAGTTGGCGCAGGGATTCCGAGCGAAGCACCATCCGAGAAATGGACTCCTCGAAGCGCGAGGATGATTGTTGCGAATCTGTCTGACCGCCGAAGCTTAGGCTCGGAACTTGTCTCGCTAACGCCCTCCAGCGGCGACACGTCATTGATGCAACGCTGACATCAGCAGCGGACCCGCCGAGTCGCGAAAGAATTTCGACAAGAACGTCGTCCGGGAGGACGGAAAACCGGTCGCAGTCAGTAACCTGCGCCGTATCGCCGTGTCGCGATGCGGCGGCCGGGGCGGCGGAAGAGCTTGACGCGGCGCATTCGTGGTTCGTGGCGCATGATGCCGCGGTCTCTGGTGCGCGGCTCGCCGAAGCAGTTACGGTTTGAGCCACATCCAGCATGCGGGGAGACGACGCCGCAATATCTTGCGCTCCCGCGGGAACGACCAGCGCGTCGTGGCTCTTGGAGTGTCCATGATGGCGCGGCGCGAAGGCCATCTCGCCTCGCTTAATCTGCTCCCTTGTTTCGCGCTTCGCGTTTGGTGATAACAGTGAGGACGTTGCTAGGCGCTTCGGACTCAGGTGCTGTTCGTTTGACTGGGTTTTGAGCGACGCAAGGCTGAGGGTGTCGGAATGGAATAGACTCTTAGTATGGGGAGTGGCCATGGCTACCATGCAGTACTTGTGCTGAGACAGTTGTTTATAGCTGATGACGCCAAATGTCACGTGACTAGGCCCAACTCGCTTCTCCGGGAATTGCGATAAGGCTTGAAGGGTCGAGAACGTTTGGCAAATGAGGACGTTGGGTTGAGGCTTTCTAGCTGACGTCCTCCTCACAAGCGGTTGCTGAGGTGGGAAGTGCGCACCGCTAAGGGACAAAGTAATGACTGATTGAAGAGAACGAAGACTTCGTCAGATTGGCTGGTTGTGAATGCAGCGGCATTGATGGTACTTTATTCGCAAGTAGATTAGCTCACGTAGTCCCATAGCGCGGCTCCAAGTGGCCTTACTGATGGGTTGCCGATGGACTGTGGTTGGCTGATTTGCAAACTGTGGAAGCGAATGCGAGGCCTGGAGGCGAGTATCGCACAAGTTTTTCGCTCGTATTATGTTTCCTTGCGCGTCGTCGTAATACTCGCAATGCGAGAACCACTTTCATCGCCTAGCTTCTCGCTTATTCGCGCAGATACATGTTACCAGTCAGCCACGAGTGACCCACACTTGAAGAAGGGATCTGATTCGAGGCTGACTGAAGCATTTGATTCGAGGTATCTCTTAGGGACTTCGCAGGTCAAAAACACTTTCGCGTATCGGTGATTTAGTGGCAGAAACTGCATGCAAACTGTCAGTGAGGGCTTGCCAGAATGTACAAAATATAATGCTGCCGAGAACGTCTCTCGTGGTTTCAAGTTCATCCCCTACTCCAAAAAGTGTGGTGAAATTCGTACACCGACGATATTCTTTCAGGCAGGCAAGGCCAGTGAGGGCGTTTCAGGGCAATCGAGGTTTTGGGTGCTGCAGCCAGTCTGGCTGCGATTTTCTCTCGTCAGCCGGCGAGTAGTGTGACTTCCACTGCTGTGTGATAGGGTGGGAGGAGGAGGAGGAGGGGGAGAGGATCATGGAGGTCCACCACGCAACTTCCTTCCTACCTTCCCAAATACAAACGAAGCGCGTTACAGTCACACCGAGTAGCCGGGCGGAATGTTCTTGAAACGAGCAGGCTATTTCGCTAGGTGTTCGCGCACGTCGCCACTGGCATAAGGTGATTGTAGGGTTGCAAGGTTGTAACATGTTTAACTTTTCCCAGTTACTGTGGACCAACGTCCGTTGTTGTTTGTGCATGTTCTTAGTTACCATGAAAGCCATCAGTGGCTTCGCGCTGCATTTCGGGTCCCTGTGTGAGATGACAAACACCACGCTAACGAAGCCAGCGAACGCTTCGCTGGAAATCGGTAAGATTTCGCAGCTTTTGCTGTAGTGCTTGTCTTGTGTGCCAAGGCCGAAGCGCCCTGTAAATCTGCCCGACAAAAACCACATGCCACCAAAAAATTGAGTGACTGTACCCCTTGTGACATCACCCGGTAAAACATGCAATTGTGAGTAAATTTCTAATTGTGGCGAGCAAATGTTTTGTGATAAGGTGAGCATCGACTGTACACGTAGCCTTGCAGCAGGCCCCTTTGTTGCAACGGCCTAGAATCTCAGCACGTGCCAGTATCAAAAGTTGCTGTCGCGCTGTTGACTGAGGGGAGGAAAGTCGCGGGCACGACGTTTCGATGAAATTGAAACCATTCAACGAATGACTGACTGACAGCGAGCCAGCTCAGCCCACCAACGAAGTGTACGCGACCTGCATGAGGATCATCTAGTTCGGTGCCATGCCACCACCACGGAGCACCTCTGGTCTGGTGTTTGTGTTGAGGAAACTCATGCACATTGTGTTTTCCAACAACCTTCCCTCCCAGTTCGTAACGGCAGGGGACTCAGCTCTGAAATCGGTGAGACACAGGCTGGCAAGAGTCTTCTTGCAAATTATACAGCATGCTCTGAACACATTGTCCTGCCTCGCTCGTAAAAATACGACGTCACTGAACCCCTTGCCCCTCAAATTTTCTGCACTTAGGGAAATCGAGCGAGACTCTAAAAACCGCGCAGATGTTGTTCTGGGGACAATTCAGCCCACCCTACCTAGCTCGTTTCGCACGAGCCGGGCTAAACCGTCTATTTCGACACGAAGGGTGTCCGGAAAAACAAAACACCCCGTTCGCAGTTCTTGCTATCGCGCATTTCATCGCATCAAATCGCATCAGCTGCAAAGAATAACGCTGGCGAGTCCAAAAATTTGCGTGGCAGGATTCTATTCCATCATTCCACTGGCCTGGTTGCTCGTTGCTCAGCAAACCTGCTGAACTGCTCATCCTCGAACCACATCAATAGCGAAACACCAACATGTTTATATCCATAATTCTTAATGACAACGCATACATCTCAACCCTGCTCCTACTTCGTTAGCGACGACCATGATCCACACCGATGTATTAGGGCAGATAATACAGCAATTTTCAAAGCTGTAGCAGTGGCTCCGATCTTCGCTAAGTGGCAACACATGAACCTCCTTTCAACCCGCACAACCGGTCATGACTGACCACGAAAACGTGTTGCATACCTTCTCTCTCGAGACTGTTGTAGAGGAATCTCCTCTAGTAATCATGAACTAAGATTTGTACCAAACATTAGAGCAATCTGTTAGCTTTCCAACGAGCCATGGATCACCTTGATAGACTAAGTATCGAGCGAGGTATCCTCGTTTTTGTGCTAGGTAGTGCTCTTAGAATCAATGACACGAGCTTGTTGAAAAAGGAAAGCAGGAATGATTGAACTAGGAAACATCGAGATACAATTACTAACCCTAACAGGGGTTGTACATTATAAGGACTACCCGTCTATAGCCTACAACAAGATATGCAATGTAATTTGACACACCGCCATAGGCAAACTAGGGGATAGCAAGTATAAGAAACGGTCACAAGACCAGTCAAGAGAAACAAAACAAAGCTCATGGTGGATCTCAAGGACAAGCATCCGAGCACAAGCAAGCGGCCACAAGGCCAAGTCACATGCTGTTTTATAATCGAGCAAGCACTACAATATTTATAACCTAGCAACCAGAAACATGCAAGTTTATACATAAAAATACAAGACAAGATCAAGAGACAAGCAGTGCTAGCCCGTGTGGCCACGTACGAAAGGCGAAACTGGGAACGCTGCTGCAACACTCGCACGGCAAAGGAACGAACGGCAAAGTGCTACGTTCTGCTCACGAGTCTGACCAAGTAGCGCAGCACCCTCCTTGTAGCCCGAAAATGCGCAGGGTGATGTCTCCCGGGCGCAACGTAGCGATTCGGGTTGCTGAGAGGGTACGGCAGGTACTCTGGCTCGAACTTCCTGTCCTCAAGAACGTCACAGCCAAGGGCAAGGGCAAGCTCACCTCCGATAGTCGTAAGACTCGAAGAGGCAGAAACGAGACCTTCAAAGTAGGCACGGCGGCAAGTAGCGGAAAAGCCAGCGATCTCAGCTACCAAGGCAGAAGCAGCAGCAGTCGAAGAAGCAGGTGCAGTCTCAAGCGCGGCTAGACAACAAGGGATACTCGGGCGAACAGCTCGAGCAAGGTCAGTCATTGGGTCAAGAATGGCAGGAAGAGAAGACGGGGGAGGTAACGGCAGGACAACAGGCTCCCGAGTAACACGAGAGGTAGCAGGGGAGGCGGCACAAGACACAGGCACCCGACGCCCAGTCAGGGAGACGGGCAACAGGGAGTATCGAGCAGCAGCGGGCAAAGGGGCGTCAACAGTGGCCGAGACAGGTCAGGCAGCGGAAACAAAAGAGGAGTAGTAGAAGTGGGCATCGAATCAGGTACGATAACGATGGTTGCTGCAAGAAGATAGGCCACTGCAGCAGCGTCTGCAACGCACCCCCAGACCCAGCACCTCCAGTACTAGGACCTCCTAGTCCACCAGCAAGAGGACTCCTAGCACTCCCAGAGTCATCACCCCCAGAACCGGCAGCTTCAGCGTCACCACCCTCAACAACACCAGGGCCCCCGAATTCCACAGCGACAGGCTGCAGAGGAGGTGTCTCCAAACGCGGTGAGAAGTCGTTGTGTCGGCAGCATTAGGGTCACCCCCCTTAGTCCAGCCAGAGGGGTTTGATGGGACTACGAGACACAGGAGAACAGTAGAGGGGTGAGCAAAGACTAGTTCTGAGGTGGGGTCGGCAAGAGTGACTGGGACCGAGAGCAACGCCTCCGCAGGAACCGCATCTGTGCTAGTAGGCAAACAAGCAGCGGCACACGAAGACTCTAACTGCTCCTGCCCGCCCAAGCCACTCTCGCCAGCTCCACTACAACCACCCTCGTCAGCTACAGTGTGGAGGTCTGACAGCGCAAGGAAGGTAAGAGGCAACTCAAGACAACCTAGGGTGGCAGGAGGGGTGGGGGGGAGTAGCACCTAACCATAGCGGAATAGAAAGCATGGGCTGACGGCACCTGG